AGAATTGGCTGCAATGAGAGCAGTGTAACAGAAAAGCTAAGTGGGTTGATGTAGCATATGAATCATGTATGTATGTATGTATGTATGATATAGAAACTTCAGTTTTAAATAAACATACTTCTACTTATAGAAAAAGCTGAAGCTGGATATATCATAAGCTTTATTAGAAAATCATGGATATAAACCCTTATACTCAAGAGGATTACTAAAATTCTGAGGAGAAAGCTAGATAATGAATAATTTTTCACACTTTCTACTGCCTTAAAGATTACAGTCAAACCCAGTTTCTACCCTATGTCTCAAGAAATGTTATGGAGATAGTTTTGGAAAAACTTCATTCTCTAACACAATGTTTCTCAACCTTGGAAGCTTGAAGCGCTGCTGGCTGGGGGATTCTGGGAGTTGAAGTCCACCCATCTTCAAGCTACCAAGGTTGAGAAATTCTGCTCTAACATCTCTTGGGAGATGAAGTGGAAGCTAAGTGCAAAGTTCTTCAACTGTGAAAACATTCTCTGTTTGGCTCATATTAGAATTTAGATCTCGTCCACCCATTCTCTGGGCAAAGTAGATTCAGATTTCTCAAGTCAGGAATGAATTTTGTGAAGATTGACATGAAATACAGTTGAGGTTCTTAAAACTTTATAATTATAGTAATTAAATATGAATAATAGTTAGAATTAATCATCTGCAAGCATTATCATATAGTTGAAATCTTGTAACTTAATGTGATGTTGAATGAAGAGTAATGGCCAGCAAAGAACAACTAAATTTGAAACTGGCAAAACCAGCTATGTAAAGAAGCATCATTGAGAACAGAATAAATAAATAAGTAAACAAACACACCTTCTCGGACCTTATTATATAAGCAGTAAAAAGATAGATGTTATTAAGAAGTCAAGCATTAGCAATTTCAGTTCAGTTCAGAGTCATTGTTATTATTTAAATTTCTAGTTTCAATCTGATTTTGATATGGAATAAATTATAGTCCTGGGTGTAGGGAGGAAGGGAGACAAATAACTCTCTGTGTCTGACACAGATTATATAATTCATGACCTTTGTGAGTTGACTTCATGGTACATGTGGAATCATTGTGGAGTATTGTGATTTTAACAAGAAAAAAAAATAGAATTCTTATCTCTTGAGTGTAAGGATTTATTATATTACTTCAGAACATCTGTTTTAGATAGTGTGTTTTGAATGTATGAATGCATGAAGTATAATAGCTGTTTTTCCTGCCTTGATAAATCTGCTGAATTCTTAAATTGTTCAGATTACCAGAATTTAGCTACTCATCGCCATGTTGAATAATCAATGACAAATGTAGTGCTCACAACAAACTCATTGGAATGAGTTCCAAGTAATCAACCGTACTCCAGATGAACTGTAATTCCAAACATCCCCAGCTGCACAGATGCTGGGAATCATAACTCAGCACCATCTGGAATGTGACAGCTTCTGTACTGTATCTCTGTTCTAAGTGAGTGCTGAGCTGAGTTAATAACATTGTTAGTGTATGTCAGCCTTCCTATACTGGTACCCTCCAGGTGTTTTGTTACTTCAGTATCCAGAAGTTTTCAGAATGGCAAACTTTTAAAACATGATTTAGTGGCTATTTTGTTCTTCTTCTGTATTTTTAGAGGTATTAGAAAAGTTTCTTTTTCTCAGTGGTTTATGGACATCTAATGCTTTTCCATCAATGTAGAGCATGGGTGTCAAACTTGCCACATCACATTGCCGTCACATGACATATCGCGACATTTTTCCCTTCGTGGAGCTGGGGTGGGCGTGGCCTATGCGTGATGCATCTGGCCCACAGGCCACCAGTTTGACACCCCTGATGTAGAGTCAATAAGCCATAAATGAAATCTGGCTTCATCATGATGGATATGTTTAATGTCAAAAATTGCAGATTTGCACAGTATTGACTAAATCATGGACGCTGAAAAACGTTATTGTTCAGTGAACGTTATATATTCTGTGCATATAAGCTCTTAAATTTTCATTTCAGGATCTGAAAACACCATAGGTGATTTATAAAAGATTTGTTAATATGATAGAAATCTAAGATAATGTTGAGGACAGAATGATGGATTTAATCTAAAGACATGCAATCTGATTTCTGCTAACTTTTTATATATTTATAATGATATAGGGCCAGATGAATATAATTAGATTGCAAGATGGGTGTCATCAAGTCAGCTCTTGGGAGCTGCCCAGAAAAAAACTGCACCTCATCTTGTTCTTTTCTCTTGCAAATTTCCAAGGGCATTCTAGTAACCTTTTTGATCCAGTCCATCCACCTTGTCCATTTTCTTCTACTTTCATCCTAGAGTGATCAATTTTTCTAATCCATTGTCTGGTCACACTACATGTTCAAGATATGTAATTTTTTGGTTTGTTCATTGTGCCAAGGCAGCAAGTCAGACTTCATTTGGATGAGAATTGATTGATTGGTTCTTCTTACAGTTTATAGTCCTGTCCAAATCTATAATTCAGAGGCATCTATTTTCTTTGTCTTTCAGGTTCAGGGCCTTTCACAAGCACACATTAATATTTAAAGGACCAAATTATCCTTTTACAAATTATATTTTAATGTATCTATGGCCAACTTTTCTATAGAAAATTTAACTCAGGAGGGGTGGAATTAAAGATGAGAAATTAGAGAAGAGGAGGATAACTATGCAAAATGCTGTTTGATGAAATTCCAAAGATAAATATTCAATCCAGCTAGAAAGCTGCGAGAGAGCCATCTCGAATGGGAAAAATGGTTGGGAGAGAAAGGACAATGTACTGTTCCTCCATAGGCTGCTAAAGTGAATTTCCTTCCATAATTTGTTTAATTCATCCTTCATTTTAAATGTAACAGCTCCTGGTATTTTCATGAATACACATGAAGCAAGTATAGTATAACAAGAATCTATGACCAATGGAAAAACTATTACGTAGGAATGTGAAGATTATGGATGATGGCCTCCAGATGAAGCACTTGTGGATGTGTATTGCTAATTGAGTTGAGGCTGGCTTACTTTGATTAACAGATACAACCTGCTGACTGAGCTTTTTTGCCTACACAGAAGCAGTATTACTGAGTGAAGTGAAGCAGCTGCTCCACTGCATTGCATAGAAACGGGAGTACCTATTTGCTTTTTGGAATAGTTTCAAAGAAATGCTACACTTGAATCAACAAAGTAGGAATTCCTTCAAAGATCTGGAAGGCCCTACTGATTTGCATTGTATTTGACTCAGAGCAGGAAGGATATGAGTATGAGGGGCACATACTTAGGTAATGTTCTGCATTCTAAATCTAAACTGCAGGGAGTATTTCATTCCCTAGGTGAGAACTGATGTAACTACTTCATAAATAAAATCCTTCCTATTAAAAAAAATAAGTTGGAAAGAGGATTCTAGATTCATTTTTTCCCCCAAAATTCCCTAATCTATCATCACATACAATTTGTAAGAGAAGATAATAAATATTACATATTGTTCAGTTGGGCAATTTATCTGTAGAAATATTTATTTTAAAATTGTTAGACTTAACAATGAATGGAAGAAAGCTGCTGAGCCATATGTTTGCTATTGCAATTATAAAAGTTGCCGGAGGTTATTCTTGGTGATAAAATCTATGAAATATAAAACCTGAATTACTTACTTATTGATAATTTTTCAGACTTGCAAAATTGATGTCAGCCTTGCAAGGCAGTCCAGACAAGAAGCACATCTAGAGTATTAGTCTATCTGTACTGTAAAATTAACGGAACGTAAATCTCTTCCCTCCCTCCCACTTTTAGTCCAAGAAACTAGAGATGGTTCCTTCTGAGACTTTTGCCATCCCCCCCCCATTTCTTTTGCATGCTCAGTTGATTTTTGTCCAATCTGCAGCTCTTCCCCCTGTCTCCAAAAGTCATTTCCGCAAACCATTAGAGTAAGATGGAGAAAAACTGAAAAGAGTACAGTTCCTTAACTACAATACTTTTTGTACAACCCCTTTGTTCTTACAGATTCAGTTCTTTCAATAGCTTCGTCTTCATTATAAGATTCTTGAGGAAAATAAATAAAGTTTTCTGTATACCTGTTAGTTTTAACATGGTTTATATTCTGCTATGACCTACATGATGAAAGGTTTTGACTGTTGTCAGTGAAGCAAAAATAAAACTCCTTTTATTCTCTTCCTTTTTTGTTATCCACTTTATATTAGCTACCTGATTTCATTACTCTTTGTCTTTTCAGAAATTTCCCTGTTCCTCTGGCTTGCCTTTCTATATGTATGGATCAGTCTTTGTAAAATGTTAAACAAATATTTTCTAGTTTAAGAAATTAATGGGTTTTTTCCTATTTGCACCACTTTTTTCAGTATAAGTCCATATTCTGATTTTTTTCCAATTTCTAGCCATATAGTCTTGTTCCATATTTCTAGACAAAGAACTGGTAGCATTTTATGAGATTGTTTGTAAATATCCTATCAATAGTTCAGTAACTTTAAATTACTTGAAAACAGGGTTCTTGCAACTAAGTGCCAAAAATAGACATGCGTTTATTTTTTTAACAACTGTTTTAAGAAATAAATTTTCACATCCATAGTTTTCTTTGTACTGTAGATCTCTATAACACGATTTGATATCTTGTTTCTTTTTTCCCACACTGTAATCAATACTTTTAAGAAATACTCAAAGCTGACTTTAATTTCACAGATAGATGCCTATATTTCTCAGTATCTCTTAGGATAGAAGGATCCTTGGAAAATGAATTCTGGGAATCACTAAAGATTCAAGCTGCAGGGAAACAAAAACTAAACAATAGCAAAGTTAGAAATGCCTTCAAGAATATAAAGGCAGTCAGCTTTCAAAAAACATTATTCTGATTAGGTGTTTACCCACTGTTTTCCAGTTGTGATAAGATGTATGAGATTGTAATTTTTAGCTTTGAAAATGTAAAATGAAGTCATAATTAAGATGATAAATATGTAATGTCAGTCATATTCATGAATTTCTTGTTCACAGCTTTGATGTCGAAAATGGCCCTTCACCTGGTCGTAGCCCACTTGATCCTCAGGCTGGCTCTTCTTCAGGGCTTGTGCTTCACACCACATTTCCAGGGCATAGCCAGCGTAGAGAGTCATTTCTTTATCGATCGGACAGTGACTATGACCTGTCACCAAAGACCATGTCACGGAATTCTTCTGTTCCAAGTGAACAGTAAGTAGATCTATTATATTCTAGAATTTCTACTGAGCAGACTGGAATTCTAATTTCAACAGATCTGAAGGCAACAAATTGGAAAATGTTGATCTAGAATAATCCTGGGGCAACTTCTTAAAGGAAGAATTTTCTCAGAAAAGTGAAACCAGTTTGCAAGCTGCTAATATCAGAAAAGTATGTGTATCTAATCATCATGTGGGTAGTTGTTGCTATCAGCTCCATGAATATCATCATCAGGCAAACAGCAATAACCTCTTTCTAATACAAAAATTCAGTACCTCCATATCATCAGGTCTGAAGCGTAACAACAGAGAGAACAGAATATGCCGACTTGAAAAAGAAAAGAAAGATGTTTGTATATTCTGTGGAATCCAAGGGAACATTCTCCTTCTACTTGCCAAAACCACAACCCAATAAAGAATGAGTTTTTAGTGATCATCAGGACTTGGGAGAACAAGGAGTGGAATGACTGGGAAGCTGGAATTCTGGACAACTTAGAAACTAAGAATATAGAACATTATTCTGTTACACTCCAACTTCTGGAACAACAGTGGTAATGGTGGGCTTGAATAATCACAGTTTACATGAGGAACACCTGTTTATTTTTATTTCTTGCATACTTATTATCTAATTTTCCATATTGAAAATCCAGACAAATTGTCTGTATTTAAATAGATTAAAAGCCGGGTATGTCAACAAAAGCCAGGAAATCCAAAACTGGCCTTTTTTTCATAATGTTATGCCCTTTTTCCGACTGAGAGTTAGTATATAAACCTAACTGGAATTTCCTAGTCTTTATTGCCTTATGTTACAAGAAGAAAATGATAATTTCTCATTGGATTATTTCATTTCTTTGGATATACATTCTGATTAGAGAACCATTTAAATTAGCAGCAATTATTCATGGCCAAATAAAATAGAAAATTATCAGAGTGATTTAAACAAAAAGGTTTTTAACAAGGCTGTTGTTATTCCAAAAGTTTGTGCCACGTGATTACTGGGTCTGCTCATTTTGTACTGCATTCATTGTAATTCTTAGAGCAGTATCTTCAATGCATGATTCAATTAGGTGTTTTATTTTTCAATGACTTGTTATATAGACTAATATTGGTATGAACTGAGAGGAACAACTTGTCTAAGGTCACCCAGCTGCCTTATGTGCCTATGGGGAGTTTGAACCTGGGTTTAGACTATCACTTTATTATAATAACATATTTTTTTTAAAGTAAGAAACATTTCAAGTCAGCAACATATATTAAAATGATTCACTGGACTCACTTTGTAATTAAGTAGGGCATTTAGACAGAAAATATTTCAATAATTAAACACAAACAACTCCAAAACTTCATGATTTAACTTGATAAACAGTTTATCCATGCATTTTAAATACTAGGACTCTGCATGATTAAATTTTTTTTGCAAGGGGTACTTTAAAATGCACAGAAATTGCAACCTGTCAGCCCAAAACCAAGAATGACATGTGGCAAATCTTCCAAGCTGAGTTCTTTATTGCTATAGACAAAATCTTGCCAAACTCTACTATCTGCATATATAATATAGTCTGTAAACTATTAGGAAGGGGCTGTTTCATCCACTTTGTCTCACACATAATATCTGGGCTAAGGTGAGTTGCCTCTTACTTTTGTGGAAATCACTCCTTCCTCCTGGGAATCAAGTTCCTCACTACATTCCATCATAGAATCCAGCATCTCTTTAAAGCAGCCGTGTCTTTTTCAGGCCTCATACAAGCTTGAATAAAGACATGGCTGCTTTAAGGACTCACTTGAAAGAGGCAGCTGCTATAATCAATCAGTTCATTAAAGTAGCCATGGCTTTTTCATATGGAAAGCTGAAAAAAGAAATGCCTACATAAAAGAGGCACTGAATGCCCATTCTCATACTTTCTGAGGTATCTCTTAAAATCATTTTTGTGCATAGATCTACTACTAAAATGCATAAAATGCTAAATATTTTTTTAATTTTTAAAAATAGAAAGGCATCTCTAACCTGTACACTGAAAGTCGCCATTTCTAATACATATGCTGTGGAAAATGTATATAGGATCAAATGAAGAAACTCTTTTGAATCAATTATAAAAATAAGTCAGAAAGCAAAAGGTAGAATCCTGAACAACTCCAACTCTGGAGAGAAAAAAAACTATACAGCAAAAAATTTCCCATTCTAATTTAAAATCACTATTCACAAGTTTGGTTGTATATAATCTTAATTTGTGCATTGGCCATGAAATTTACAGCCATTAAACTTAAAGTTAGTCAACGTTTTAGAACAAGATATTGTGATGATTGTTAGTTATACAGTTATTTTTCAAAATCTTCTAAAATACATGCTCCTTTTTGTTTTCATTTTTTATTAGACATGGAGATGACCTGATAGTGACACCATTTGCACAGGTATGTTCCAAATATTGTAATACAATTTCTAACACTAACAAGATTGGATTAAAACATTTGAGAACCAAACTGAAGGTGTAAATACTGTTTGTTTTTCACTTAGACATGGCCTCAGGATCCCTACACTCATCACACCTGCCCACATTGTCCTTCTCAGTTCCCCTAGGCACATTAGACCTCAAAGTCTTTAAATTCTCCACTCGTTTTCTAAAACCCTTTCTGAAAACTTATCTGATAAACTGCTACAGTTGTTTTATGCCTTTAACAGCAACTAATTCAGTTGTCAGATTATCTCATAATGTCACAAGGAAAGATCTGGTAAAAAGCATTCAAAATATTCAAAAAGACAACTTTCTTATGACCTCACAATAAAAGACCTGGACATTCCTATTTCAGTTCTGTATTTACTACAGATTAGCATTACATTTATTTTACTGTAAATCGTTGCTTCCTTAATCTTCCCAGCTATGTTATGCTAAATTTACTTCCATTTTGCTGCTCACAGTATGCTTTTCCTATAGAAGTACTGTACTAAAAGCCTAAATATGGCTTTTAAAATTTTATTTTATTTACTTATTTGTATCTTACCTTTATTGTTTTTACAAATAACTCAGGGCGGTGAACATATCCAACTCAACTTCTTCCTCTATTTTCCCCATAACAACAACTTTATGAAGTGAATTGGCCGAGAGAGGGACTGGCCCAAAGTCACCCAGCTGGCTTTCATGCCTAAGGTGGGACTAGAACTCACAGTCTTCCTGTATCTAGCCTGGTGCCTTAACCACTAAACCAAACTGGCCCTCTTTATCTCTTTAATGTGACTAACATTCCCAATAACAATGCACAATTTATAAATGCCAGACTTGGAAATAGAAAAACTAATTTATTTCAGAAGAAAAAAATACAAGCAATAGATTATATTTGTGCCAAAGTAATTAAGTTTCTTTGCGTTTTGCGGCATTGCTACTGTTTTCAAGATTTCAGTAATTCCAGGGCCTATAGCCCTGTTTTAACTGTTAAGCTATTAACAACTTTTTATAGTCACACAATAAACTTTTATTCTCTTTTCCAGTTATTGTCTATTGTATACCTTCAAACTATTATTGGTAATAAATAGACTGTAATTTTCTATTTTCAAACATATGAATATAAAACTCAAATATGTATTATATAAATCTGGGCTGCAAAAAATCTATATGGCCATTAAGCGGAAGCAAAGAATTAGAATTTTTATTATCTCTTTGCTGCCATCTGGTGATTTTCCAGATTTTTGCAACATATATCTAGTATTAGATATATAGCAGTGGCCAAAATTGTGGAAACCTTTTGGGGAAAGTGTATTCTTGAAGTTTCATGGTTAATAACACTACTTTTTTTATAGTAGTACCATAAAATTATATATCAATGGAAATAATTTAATCAAGAATTTAATGCTTTTCAACCTTTGTTTGAGAAATAAAAGTGGCTTTTTTTGTGGAATTCTAGATTTTAGGCCAAATTCCTGCAGTCTGCGCCGAACAGTCCTTGCACTCAACTTCACACTGCATTGCGCAATTTCATCTTGTATGCACCCAGATGATTTTCTTCTGTCACGTAGGCACAGTCTCTTAATTCCTCTATCATCACTTGCTGCTGTGCACCTTTTCGTGCCTTTACCAGTGTGGTTTTGTAGTGACTGAGTCTCCTTATACCTCTTCAAAAACTTAAAAATGCCACCTTTGGTTAAGTTTCCACCATTTTTTCTTCTAATTTCTTTATAACTGTAGCCTTGTTCACTTAATAATACTATTTTAAATCACTTTCTGGGTAACCAGTTAACTCTTTGCACCATTACTTTAATTTTATTAGGTTTTACAAGCTGACTAAATGAAAGAACACAAAAAACCCCAACCAACTTGATAGTGATCACATAACACACTGACAAATGTCCTCCTCTCAGCTTCAATACATGACATTAATAACTGAATCCTACTGTGATCTGATTGGCCAAAACAAGATGACACCTGATTGGCTCTCTAAACACTCATGCTCATTCGCTACAATCAGATGAAGGAAAGTTACCTGATATCAATCTGAGCAAGTTGTGCTTCCTTTTTCTGGTTATTTGGCTATAATTTTTCATCGAATACAGATAATTGAACAACCTGTGTTGCATTACATTCTTGACTAAATTATATTTCCATTGATATATAATTTTATGTTACTGCTGCAAAAAAAAAGTTGTGTTATTAGCCATTAAACCTCAAAAATACACTTTCCCCAAAAGATTTCCACAATTTTGGCCACTACTGTATATGATGTGAGCTATAATATTGTTTAATCAATTAGAATAATATAAGTCCTTGTTATTTTATGGCTTTAAACATAATTTTAAAAACTGAAACCAATTTGTTTTAATACAAATATTTTTGCTTAATTCTCTTCAGACATTTGTGGGACTTCAAAGAACACCTGCATATTTATATAATTCTACATTTTGAGTTCTTCCAATGTATTATGTTATTCAGTGTACTCTTACATTTTAATAGGTCTTGGCAAGTTTGAGAAGTGTAAGAAATAATTTTACAATACTGACTAATCTGCAGGGAACGTCAAACAAGTAAGCTGCTTTTTTTCATTTTTATTTTTAATTAACTGTTGTAATCATACCTTAAGGTTGTAAAACTATGAATTATCTATTTAGAAGTAGGTCCTGTTTAAAATCAGTGGAAGTTTCAATCCAAATATTGGTTGGATTGAAATACAAGCTAATCCCCAAAGCAGTTATTTGGAGTTTAGATCTGAATTGCAGAAACATAATTATGGCTTTGGTCTTCATGTAGGAATGTCAGTTTGGTTCATCTTGGTTTTTCATTTTTTCTATTGTTAGTTTATTCTATCTCTTAGGTGCAACAACTTCTGGTTTCTTTAAAATGACAAATTCTTAATGAAAAATCATATGTATATCATTCACATTTTTCCTAATATATTTATTGTGTTTAAGGTGTATTTTAAAAATAGATTTCTCCTAATATATTTTGTGTGTGTGTATGTCCTATTTTTGAAAATCACATTAAATTTAGTTTACCGTATTGGAATGAATTATGAAAAAAATTAAATTGTTCAATAATGACACCATTTGTACTGAAATTTTCACTATCTGTTAATTGGCAGATTTTGAAAATGTCCTGTCAATGTTCAAATATAACAGAAATTGTGGTACAGCATTTGGAGAAACCTGTTTAAGATTTACAGTTATCCTCATGTGACTGGACCCAATTTTACAGCATTTTTTGCAGCAGTTGTTAAATGAGCCACTGTGTTCATTAACCGAATCTGCAGTCATTAAGCAAATGCCACAGTTTTAAGTGCAAATTCATTCTTCTGAATGGGCATTTTCCCCAGAAAATTACAAATTGCAGTCACATGAAGGCAAAGTGGTTGCCAAGCACCTAAAATGTGGTCACGTGATTGGGGGGAAGTTGGGGCGATGGCCAGGAGTGTTTTACGGCCTGTAAAAGCACCTGTTCCAAGCCTGGCATAATTTTAAATGGAAGTATTTGTAAAATATTTATTACTTTTCATTGTCCATTGTTCAGATCCGTTATTTAGCTGTTCGGGTTACTTAATGTTTATTTGAGGAAACTAGGTTTTTCTTCCCTGTGGAATCTCATGAGGGCAAAATCAGAAGGATGATACTTACATGTTTAAAAGTATTATCATCAGTTTGTGTCGACTGATCAGAGTAATCTAATGCAGATGCACCCATGCCCTTCACATTTCCTCTCAGTCATGAGAACATGCAGTATGATTTCACTTTACATTCCTAAACAAGCAGTATGGAAGCCCTTGACACTGAATCTGGGTGACAGCTGCTTTTTGAGGCAAGCAGTTTGTAGGTATTGACTTGCCAGGTGGATAGGCCAATGTTTGAAGGTTCCTCCACATGAAAAGATGCACTTAGCTGTTTTAGACTGCATGCAGAAGCATTTCTCAACTTTAAGAGACGTGGACTTCAATTCCCAGAATTCCCCCATACTGTATTGCTGACTGTGGCTTTCCCGGAGTCAAAGTCCACACCTCTTAAAATTGCAAAAGTTGGGAAACACTAGCATGGATGGATCACCTCACTGGCAGCTGATGTTAAACTTACAAATGTTTACAAATTTGAAGGGAAGATACTATGTGGCGTATCCTCCATTCAAATTTGGGTTTAGCTGGTATCTCTAGCCTTCAGCTACCCATTACTCCTATAGAGTGAACCCTTAATCTATATTAATAGGGAGGAAAACTGCATTGTATTCACAGGCATCTCTGAATCCCAGTGCAGCCATATAATAAACTTCAATTCATTCCTCTACAGGAGGTCTCCAGCAGCAAGTCAGCTACCCATCTCCAAAGTAAACATTCAAGGTATGTGTTCTGTTGGGGGGCGGGGGAATATTGCTTTGTTCAATTACAGGGCCTGTCCTGTACATTTACAGCATCAAGCAGAGAGGTATCATTATGCATTTTTATAATGGATGTTTGCTGGTCGAGCATAGCTTACCCAAGCTGTTTTGTCATTAGTTGTGTTTTGCAGCACAACTGAGTAGCAGAGATGAGAAAGAACCTTTGTGAGGAGAACAGAAACAGATGGTATGCACACACAAAAAATGCCTAAAAGAAGAGTGGTATAGGGGCAGACAGGAAGAGGATGGAGGAAATGATTCATTGTTGAAATGCAAACGGTTCATTGTTGAAGACTTTACAGTAAAGGGGACACAAAAAAACAATTGTGAGCAATCATTTCATTTAACAAAGGGATGGATTTCATTGCTCAATATGCTCTTTACAAAAACAGTATGCCTAACTATTAATGGTATGTGTCAACTGAAATGCAACAATTCTTCATGCATAAACGTTCTAGGTCACTGCAACAATTCCATGAATAAATCTTCCCTTTTTTGGAAATAATTTTATTAAAGGTTATATTATACACATAGAACTAATACGTGTTACATAGAATTGCATAAGAAAGAAGAAACCTTCCTAATCACCTCTTTATGCCATACCCATCCATTCTCTATATACAAATCTTTAAAATTTCTTCACTCCATCTTAATCAGAAAAAGTCAATTAAGGATGATAACATATTATTATTACAAATTACATTAATAAACCCACTTTGAATCTTTCCTTTTTCTATTTAAACAAATTCCTCCATCTCGTTTTTAAATAAACATTTTAAAACATTGTCATACAACCCTAATTTTAAAATGCATTAAACTTCATCAGAGATAAGATCTGATTTATTCTAACCCTAATCAAATAAACCAATTTTATCTTCTTTCCTTTTTTCTCCCAGCAATCTTTAATCCTCTCAAATAATATTTTAGTATCCGCTTTTTTTACAAGCCCTCTTCATCTTTTCTCCCAGACTTATTAAGACTTCTATCAACCCTTGTTGTAAATCCAATATAAAATGGTTATCTAGATCATATTTTCACTATTTGTCACAAAACTGTTAACAACTTCAATAAGTCCCTTTTGTAACTCCATTGGAAAGAAGTTATCCAAACTACACTTGTGGTTTAGTATTTTTGAGTGTTTTTTATCTATGGAGGTTCTCAGTCATCCAGGTCATGATTGTCCCAAATGTGCTTTTTCAAGAGGCAACTGGACTTTCTATTTTTTCTTTGAAGACATTTCACTTCTCATTCAAGAAGCTTCTTCAGTTCTGTGTGTTTTGTAGTTGTTTGGTCTTTACATCAGTTAGTTTGGTTTTTACATCCAATATATCATATTTTTATATATCCTTTATTTCATCTTTTTCCTTGCAGGGTACCATTTTTAAAGTCACATTCATATCACTTTCAGTTTTATTCAATGGAGGTTGTTCTTTAAAGGCATAGTAAAGTTTTCCTATTATAGAAGATAACTTTAAAATCATTTTGGGCATGCATGCAATAATTACAAATTTCTCTTAAAGAAATCCATTGATCTATTTATCTCTTTATGCCCTCTAAAAACCAACCTTCAAAGTCATCTTATTACTTATTTTGTTTCCAGATGTAAATATAAAAAAGATTATCACAAGAAAGGATTGTTAAAATTAGTTTCAGAGTTCTGATCCAAATCCATCTGAACCCTTAATCCATTTAAAACTTTCTGAAATCTAGACTTATTATCCCTCTTTGGCTGTATATTCAGAAAATAAATTTTCAATATAAAAAATACCTTTGTTAAATGATTGCGGAAAAATTCACCTGGTGATCAAATTTGCAGTTTTGAAGGATAAAAAGAGCAATAGAAAAAAATAAAAATAAAATTCAACATGATTCTGAGGTTCAGCCAGAACTTTTAAGTTCTTAAAGGCTACATTGACAGCTGTGAGCTCAATGTAATCCTGTGACCTCTAGCTGCCTACAAGCCAACCACAAAAATGCAGTTTATGCCATCTACTCTCTCACAAAGAGAGAGACGAAGACCACCTGTCTGGAGTACTTAAAGCTGATCTCAGTATGTCTCCTTACTCCAGAAAGATTTTAATAGTCAGAATCCAGCATTCAGCTGCCGTTTTTAGCTGTAATGTCTCCTACTGGCAATGGGATGTCAGTTATAATTCCTCACCAGAAGCAACTCCTGCAGACATAAATCTTCCTGAAATTCATGCTTAGCCTTATTTCTAAGCATGGTAGTACAACTGAGATTACTGGGGACACTGATTCAGATGTTTGCTCTCTAGAATAGAGGAATACAATGGGATCAAATATATTGCCACAATTTTTAAAAGTTTCCTTTTAACATTTGCAAAAGCGAATTCAAATTTTCTCCAATACCCCTTTGTTACTTTAAATAGGCCAATTTTCTGTTCAGTGGCGGCCCCTATCCACCACTGATGATCTCAGAAAGCTAGGCAAGATCATAACTGATCTATGCTTAGATGGGAAGTTGGAAAGTTTTTAGATGAAATTGAAAAGTTGAAAAAGCAAATTCTCTAAAGTTGCCAATAAACTAACATGGATGTTGAATCAAATTAAATGAAGGTTTACTTTTTTAAGCATTTATTTCAATATTCCCAGGACTCGGAATAAGGTAACCATTCTGAGTTATCTTTCTTTAGCTGTATGATTGTTAACTCATATAATTTGATTATTTAGTTTTTTCACTATATGACCCTGAATTATCTGTCTGTATCTATCTATCTATCTATCTATCTATCTATCTATCTATCTATCTATCTCTATTTTTAAAATATTTATAAATTTATAAATATTTAGAAACTACCTATCTCTTATCCAGAGGGGCTCTACCCTAGGTACAATGAAAATAGTAAAATGTTAAAAATATAACAACTGAATATAAAAAAATTAAAATTAGGGACAAGGATAATAAAATTTAAATTCTGTTGGAATTTGGAGAACATTGATAACTAGGGCAATATATGTTTTTCATTGTAATAATAAAGCCAGATGGAACTAGAATATTAGAATTTTTTTTAAAAAAATGGTTTCCTCTATTACACAGATTTGGAAGAAAATAATATCCAAATTTAGTAAGCATAATTGATTTGGAAACAGTTGGCCACTAGAATTCCAGCCAGTATCCCTGACGTTCAGAAAGACAGCTTCCATTCTTTTTGAGAAATGGGTCATGTTTTCTTTATTTCATCTGCATTAAATAAAGACTAAAGTAAAATTAATTCTTAGCTGTATCATCAATGTGTTCTACTTCTTTTCATTATTTGTATAGTATTAAATGGATTTTTATTCAACAAAAGGCAGGCACCTTGTATCAAGAGTCACTTGATACAATTGAATCTTTGAGCAGATATATTCCATTTGAAGTGTATTCTATCAGCCTGCAATTTTGTTGTGAGGGTATAGTATTATTCTGAAATAAGCCTAGCATATTTTGGCATTAGAAAATGTTGATCATTCTTCGAAGGTTATGCACTGTTTTTCTAAAATCTCAAATACTACCTGGGTTAGTCATTGGTATAGGTTACTACTTCAAAAGTGCACAATTCAGTTTTCCTTCTGTAATGCTTCCTGTTCTTTGGTTTTCTTTATTTTTAGAAGAATACAAATGGTCCTGTGCTTAATTGCAACATCAGTTTTCTTGCCCCTTTTTGTCTCTGCTTTCTTTTAAAGTGGAAACTAGTTTTCAGATATCTGCCCCAAACCCAGCAAGATTTCTCTAGAAAATGTACGCTTGATCTAAACTACAGCAACAAATGATAAATTAGATGTTGGGAAATATTTAATTGACACCACCACTTAGATGACTCACTCTGTACAGAGAAAGGAGTAAGTGAATTTGCTAACTAATGTTGTGGCAAAATTCCCTTTTCTTGTATGCTAGATTAGATGCCTTGAATCTTGCCAAGGCTTAAACAGACTTAATGTACCTATACAGGTTATAGACCACAGGTTATAGACTTATGACCACAATTGAACCCAAAATTTCTCTTGTTAAGTGAGACATCTGTTAAGTGAATTTTGCAGTTTTTATGACCTTTCTTTCAGTTGATAATTTAGCAACCCAGTTTTTAAGTGAATATGGCTGCTCCATTAACTTTGCTTATCAGAAGGTCACAAAAGGTGATCACATGATCTTGGAGCACAGTAACGGTCATAAATATGAACCACTTGCCAAGCATTTTTATGACATGAGCATGTGGATGCTCCAAAGGTTATAACTGAAAAACGGTCAAAAGTCTGTTTTTTCAGTGCCATTATAACCTTGAACTGTTGTAAATGAACTGTTGTAAGTCAAGGAGTACCTGTATTATCCCTTTGTTTCTACACAGACACACACACCACATTTTAAAAATTATACCGGTACTTCAGAAATTAATAATTTATACCAATGAATTTTTCCCATACACTCTTTAGACTGTGGCTGTGATTGTAGGTCTCGATTCCTAATTCAGGAAGACTTAAGAATTTTGATCATTACAGAATAATTAGATTGGCATTAGATTTGGTATAGCTGAGGGAGATGGAAAACGAGCAAATATCATTTCTCTTTTAGGCTGCCATATTTCTTTTGCCACCCTTGTTCTATTAAGTTCAACTAGAAAATAGATCTTGGTCTAAATTATTTTGAAGAAAACTTCTGAGTAAGTGTAAATCAAGCTGCAGTTAGTCAAAATATTGAATAACAGTGATGATGAGTCTTTAGTTTATATTCAGCCTTCCAGGAGTTTGTGGTGTTCAGATCACTCTTTCCTCTACTTTTTCTCCCAAAGTGGTGTAAATTGGACTGAGAGCGACTGGCCCACAGTCACCCAGTGAGTTTCCATGGTTGAAGGTGGACTTCTTGGTCCTTAACAACTCCACCAAATTGGCATAATTAATATGCCAATAACAGAAGCAATGTTATGCCTAACTGAACAGTACACATTGATTCAATGTCAATGCAACCTG